GTGAAACGGTGATTTTAGGTATCTACCCACTAATAGTATGTAGGATTTTAAGGGGGTACTCAGTCCTTGTATCGCTGCATGACTGGCCAACCTTCTTCTGGGGCTGTCCACAGACAGTGGCGTAGCTACATCTGCTATCAAAGAGTTCCAAAGACGACAAACCACAAATGAATGAAATGGGAGGTCACCCTAGTCTTTACCTTTTGATGAGCAATCCTCCTGGGTTTTCCACAAGGAAGCCCATGCCTTCTCAATGGCAGAGCAGCTCTGTTTGGATGATTCCGGTCATTTTTTATCCTGTAGTCAGTAATCAAGTCCCTTCTGAACCGAATGTAGCGACTTGTGAAGAGACCTAATTTCTTTAGCCGTTCATCATACTCTTTGTGCCAGAGACTCATCATCGCTTTTGTCATCCGTCTTGTCATCCGACTCTTTCAAAAAAGTTTTCGTTTCTTCTAAGCAGTATGTGCGCGGTGATACTATATACTCCAAAGCGCGGTTTGCCGTCCTCAGACTACTTAATATTATCCTTGGATTGGTGAGTAAAAGCGGAAATTCTGAGACGTTTCTTGATAAAACGATTGTCTTTTGGCCAGGGAAGGTGCATAGATGCACATCCACAATGAAATATCTGGATTATCAAAGTGTGAACAGTTATCTTTCCTCTGTTACCACAACATCGAGGGTGACTTACTCCTCATAGTCAATCGCAAAGTGAAAACTAATCCAACAAATCAATATGCTTCTGAATACTGGGTGTCGCAGTGTACCACGAGGAAGGAACTATACCCATAGGGTTATACAGTCAGACACACCATATTAATTCAAAATGAAGTGCCTAAAGTCACAGAAGTCGCTACATAACTATCTGTTCGTTTGGTCCTGTCAGCTGATGTTACGCCAGTCAAGATTAGAGAAGGAAGGCCACTTGCCATAGAAAATTTGATTTCAAGTGTTCTTTAGAATCGTGTGCATTCTGCAATTGTAAGCAGCAAGAAACTAAAAGCATGTGAAAAACAAGAATTCAGCATACAACGGAGAGTTGTATGGAAGAAACGCCATCTTAACATAGCTCAGAGTACATGAAGCTGTATTAATAACATTAGCATATCCACTTCCTCAGAGCTTAACCGCTGTGATTTGGTGGGGGTGTGATTAGAGCCTCTTGACGTGCTTCTCCTTTAAAAACTTAAATCTTCTCTACTATAGCTTGACTCCACACAGTATTTTATTTATTTTATTTTTGATTACAGCTTGATTCCACACTGTATTTTTGGTACAAGTATGGAATTTTCAGTATGGATATCGGTAGCCCACATTTTGCAGGTCAACCATTGAAATCGGGTGTGCGTTGGCCGGGGATCAGACCCCGGACCATGTGCATTTATATGAACTTATCTAGGTTATGCATTACATGCAGAAATTGTGAACCAAGTGGTAGCACGGTATAATTATATTTAGGCTTTGGAAACAAGAGCACTTGCATTCATTTTTGTTTGCAGCAAGGCATCAGTTGCCCTCTTCAAATGTAATAAATGTTTCTTTTGAATCTGCAACCTGCGTATCTCTATATCTCCTTTTACTTTTGCGAAGGTGATTATTGTGGCAACGGTAGCGAATAAATAGGCAATTACATTATGTTTCAGTCACGTTTGTTTCATCACGGTTAACCTGGCTGTCAACAGTTCTATGCTTATTAATGGTTCGCTGAAAATAATAGTCGTATAATAATCGGAGTTGACGATGCGTCATTATAACCTTCCGTGCCCTCTGAGCGCTCAGTGAGGAAACCCTGCAAGCAGATAATTTAAGAGTGTAGACAAATGAACACAAAAAATTCACTTATATAGAAAGTACTTACTCTTTGTTCGTATTTGTTGCTTGCTTAATTTCTGGTTACCTTGATTAAAAACACAGCAACACCAATGTTTGGACGAAGCTGCCTTTTTGTCGATAACAACAGTTTCTATGGTAAGGCCAATATGGTTAGCATTAAGCATCGCAAATGTAAATTATCATTTTAAGGTCTCTGTAGCTCCTTCTTGTATATATCTTGTAAATGCACTTCCAATGATGCACTACCCATGATTGTATCTTAAACTATTTTGAGGTTTCCCAGGACGTTCTCCTTCTCCGGAAATAGCCTTTAATAAAATGTTGAAGAGTTTACAGTTCAACATTTTGACGGCCCTGTTCTAACTGGATGTATTATAATCCAACAATTTGAAATTTTGAAAAAGTACTAATTTGTGATACTTCAGGATTATAGTTTATAATATGACTGATTGTGGCTGTAGAAATGGCACGCATTTCATGTAAACTTACCAGTTCGTACGAAATATAAATTGTTATTATTTTGAAGTGGTATTAAGCCGATCTATATCGTATTTGGAGGAGGAATCATAACTTTTTGTGCTGCCACTCACCCCATCTTATTAGTTGAATAATAACAACCATTGCCAACCTTTTCTTGAAACTTTTGGCGAGCGTCAGTCATATTACTGCGAGAGTAATGATTTTTGAGACGAAACCTCCATTGTCATGCAGAACAACAGCCGGATTTGCGTGCCTCAGTTGATGACGCAGGTCTTCTAAAGTACCGATTTCTATTCTACTGTCATATTTATTTTGATGGGACTTACGTTTATTTAATTTAGCCCGCACATTACTAATATTATCAAATGGGTTAACTTTCCTGAATCCCTCATGTGTTAAATCCATCATTTCACGAACATCAATGTCCTTTTCAGGAAATAGCTGTGCGACTCCTTTTTCTTTTGATGACAGCGGACGTCTAGATGCATCGACAGACACGAAATTTTCCGTACTTGGTTGGTTATGCACAGTCTTGTGGGTTTTTATATGGTGTCCTACACCGTAATATAAATGCCGACTGGTATGAAATACTCTAGGACCTAAATAACTTTAAAATTTACATGCACAGCCGACTTACGTCTTGTTCCTCAAGCTAGCCATTCTAGAGGCAAGATGACCTCCAAAAGTGCAATCACACTTCACATATTCATATGTTATAGAACTGGACGTGTCCTTTTTACGACTTGAAGCAACCCGGTGCAATGCTTTTGATTCCTTCTGAAGAAATAATGAACATGCTAGTCATCACCTTCATAAATTCATCAAAAGCTTGTTCAAATTGCACCCACGTGTAAAATACACAAGAGAGTATTATTCTTCGGGATATATCTGTTACATCAGACAATGTAGATGACACATTTCGTGAAGCAAAGGCAGTAGGATTATTTTGTAACACCATATAATGGCTTCAACAATGCTTAACAAACACGACAAAATGATTTTAAGCAGATGAATTATGGTATATATTTCAGCGCTTCTTTACCACTGTAGAGGCCTAGTAAAATCGTAGCTGAATTATATTCACCCAATAAGCAAAAATCACATAGGTCACTCATTTGACAACTTTAAAAGATGCATCAATTAAAAAGATATACATCCTAATCATAATATATTTAGATATTATTGTTGAATTATATTCACCTAGTCAGAATTCTCATACGTCTCAATGTAGTTTCAAAACCACTTATACATCCAAATACTATGTGACTCATCACACTGCACTCAAAAATACTCATACCCCGTTATGATATGTTAAGTCTTCAACTCTACTGTCTTTCTACTTGTAGCTTGTAGTAAAAAAATCACCGCTTTGACACATATTTGAGACCAGTTGGAGGTCATCTAGCCATCAGCCAATCAAAACATGTCTATATCGACTTTTGCCACATAGCTGCCTAAAATTCAGAGGCTTCATTGTTCATTTAATTACACAACCTTGTCCTGCACAACGTCGGGACGCGACTTAGGTCTGGTTCTAGCGGGGAAAATGGACACAAGCGTAAATTACACAGGGGATGTAGCGAGGGCATATGCGGTCACACACTTTACACATAGACAGTTAGGTGCACTCACTCCTGAGCTCTTTCTAAGGTTGTACAAAACATACGTCAGGCCACACCTTGAGGTGCATAATATTATTGCACCCCCAATGCTGAGAAGAGACGCCAGCCTCTTGGAAAGAGTCCAACGACGGGCAACAAAAGGAGTGGTTGGTCTCCGAAACAAACCATGTGATGAAAGGCTGAAGAAATTTGGCCTGTTCACACTTAGCTACCGACTTTTTAGGGGGGATTCGATTACTGCCTACAAAATAACAAATGACCAGAATCACCCAAATAAAGGTGTTCTGCCATTGAGTAGGTATAGGCTCCCACGTGGAAATCCCAGAAGGATAGCTCACCAGAGGGCAAGGACCCGGGTGCGCTCCCACTTCTTTTCACTGCGGATTTGCCGTCCCTGGAATTCCTTACCGGCAGATGTAGCTATGGCACCGTCTTTGGACGCCTTTAAGTGAAGGCTAGACAACCATGCAGCGACACAAGGACTGCATCCAATTGGCCTATCTCCTTAAAATCGCATACACCATTCAGGGGTAGACAATCAAACTCGTCGTTTTACTTCTTTACACTCTCTCCCGTCTTACTCTTCTGACAGCTTATTAATATTATAATTACTATTACTATTATTATTATTACCGATATATATTATTCTTCAAACTTAATGAGCTGACTGTTGTTACGCTTTCCTATTTCCGTTTCTGTCTCTTAGTCTGAATAACTTCACTAATTATATCTATTATTATTATCTCTTTTCTCTTGTCGACGATACCGAAGGACTAACTGGCGAAAGGATCAACTCTAATCACAGTAGTAGCAGTCTTAACACACCTCATACTACAAACCACATATAATTAATCCCTGCACTACTCCCTTTGGAGTCAACCAAAGCTACGACAGTCGAGTGGCGGGACAAGCTACGCAGAAGTTTACCAAAGATCAGGAATCTATACCTTACAACCAAGAAGCGAGCACAAAGAAATCAAATTGGTTTATACTAGCTCGTAAAAACGATATTGGATATTGGAACCCACTTACCTTGGACAGTGTTAATCCCTTACTTTGAAAATGGTCAAGGTCGCATCAATTTTACGAGGTTGTGAGACTTTCCTCTTTGATTGTGATGGTTTGGAAAATAATGTTACTTAAGCTTGTTTAAGGTGTTATTTGGAACTCCAACATTCTGATCCCATCGTCTCAGGCACTTATACGTCATCTGCTTGAGTTAAAGAAGAATCTTTTCTTAATTACGAATAATAGTAGGCGGTCCGTGGAGGAATATCTTTCTAAATGTAATGGTCTTGGACTTCCAGTCTCAGAAGTATGGTCATAGTTAAATTTATTATTACAGAAAAATATAATATGCTCTGCACATGTCGCTGCTACATTTCTTCGAGATAATCCTCCAGATGGTGAGGTATATGTGATTGGGGAGAGTGGAATTAGTACGGAGTTGAAAAAGTTCGGAATACCTCATCATGGTGTTGGAGTAATTTTTTATTTCACTCATGGTTTACATCTAGCCTGATTTACCAACAAACTTGGCTAATCCGCTTGAGGGTGTTCAGTTGAAACCAAATGTAAGGAATATGTAGTATTATCATCTTTCAGGTAAAAGCCGTACTTGTGGGATTCGATAGTCACTTCAACTATAGAAAGCTTATGCAGGCAACTTCATACATAAGCAAAGGAGCTTCTTTCTATGCTACTAACGAAGATGCTCAGCTACCAGGGGGTAATATAGTGTTACCAGGTTAGTTGAATTGTTATATATAATGTATATGTGAGCCTGTATTGTGGTGTTTAAATTTGATGTTATTCATACCAATGTCACGTATATGACAGTGGATAAAGCGTGCAAATAAACCAGTAGGGCTGATGGTTCGGCAAAAGAGACAAGTGAGTCGTTGTCTACCCAATTATTTCTCTTGGTGAACTTGAATAAAGCAAAAATAACACATCGACCAGAATGAAATGACGTCATTATATTTCATTTCGTTCTTTTTAGTTGCGTACAACCATAAACAATTTGACACCGGTAAACAAAATATTGAAATACTGTAATTATTTGTCATAAAACTGGTAAATACTAATATAACGTAATTAAGTAGGCCGATGGAAGGGGATTAGAGTTGTTACTACTGTTCTGGAATTACGACTGCTTTCTAACAGGTGGCGTGCAGTTTCACTAATGGAGACTTTTACAACTTCCGTTCGAAGATTTCTTGGAATATGCTTGTATATGTGGTCGAAAGTCCTTATTTTTTATTTTTTTATATTTTTGATTACAGCTTGATTCCACACTGTATTTTTATTACAATTATGGAATTTTCAGCATGGATATCGGTAGCCCAAATTTGGCAGGCCGACCATAGATATCAGGTGTTCGTTGGCAGGGTATCGACCATGTTCATGGTCGGCGAGAGTCCTAACCCCTGTGCCACCGACGCACGGTTTTCCGATGGATGCGCTTTGTCACGTACACATAAACCGGTGCCAAAAAACACATTGGACAAACAGGAAGAAGGATTTTTAGTCAGATTTCATTCCCCTAAATATGTTTTTGCTTTGTTCAACATTATCATATTTAGTTCTTATTAGTCCCAACTGGATGGTATCTTGTTCTTTGGTTAATTCTTTATGCATGTTGTCAAACGTTATCGTCTTTAATACCAATATTATCATTACTGGCGTTCTTTTCTCTCATCTTGTTAGACTGATCTAGTACAAAGCCAATGCAGGTCTCAGCTTAGGATGTAACTTTCATTAATTCACGTGAATTCGTACTTATGTTTGTTTTGTAGTTCGCAATATCGCATATATATATATATATATACTGCTTTTAGGTACTGGTTCAATTGTATCAGCTGTCAAAGTTGCATCTGGAAAGGAACCTGTCGTATTTGGAAAGCCCCATAAACCCATGTTTGATCTCCTGTGTAAATATTGTGATTTGGATCCGTCTAAAACCATTATGGTTGGAGATAAGTATGTGTTATTGTCAGTTTTGTATTGAACAACCTAATCAATGTATTTTAAGAATTCTCTTATTTGACTAGGTATTGTGGTCATCTACATTTGCATACCTTTTATACAAGTAATATCACTTCCCTTCATAAGTTAACAGTATTTTAACTTCCCTGATTCTTATGCTGTTATTTTGGGCAGCATGCTTAATTTTTAACAAACAGCAGATGTAAGAGTAAATGTCTGTTTCATTGTAAAGAAGGCTCTTACAGAGAATGTTGTGCGCTTTATGCATGATTTGAATCCTTGATTACTATCATGAATCGAGGTTAAAAATGTAGGTTATGATAAAATACATTTGGGTATTTGTTTTAACTGATGTGTTCCGCACAAGTTTTTTTAACAGAAAAAGAATTTATACATTGTAGAAGTGGAGCGTATTGAGTACACAAACGTAATAACTGACATTTCCGTGAGGAATGTTATCCATACTCATTCTACTAGAAAACATCTTTGAAAGTTGAGGGCTAACTGATTTTTCAACAGCTACTAGGAATTTTGTTCTAAAGCTTTTGGGACCATACACCACTTTCTTTGCACGAGTTTTTGGTAAATCATCGTTGTGGTTGGCTACAAACAGTTATAAAATGGGGTGCAGGGACAAGTTTTATGACAGTAACACCATCGAAGAGGAGACTCTGAAAGTATGCCCTTTTAATTTAGTTTTTAAATTCAAACACCGATGGTCTCCTTGTTACTTTTGGTAACCTATCTTTTCAGGTGTCTACCTGGAGTGGAATGAGTTGGAGATGATCAATTTATATTCATTTTATTTTAGATATACTTATGTATAGTCTTCCAACCATCTTACTTAAAAAAATGTTTCCTTCCTGGGAATTTGCGGCTGTTAAAATTCTGGCATTGATATAGAAAGTTGATTTAGCTCTGGACATATTGCGCCATTTGGGGTTCAGATGATCTATCCAATTGCACATCAAAGATGGAGAATATTGTGCAACGGTACACTGCTCCAATCTATAGATGTTAAAAGTATCTTCATAACTGTTACGTTACGTTTCTTTACTTGTTTTGTCCATTTCGCTTTTGTCCTAATGCACTCGACCAACTTATGTCTTGCTTCTAACTGACCTGCGAATGTAAGGTGTAGCAACTTGGGTTACTACACGGTAATACTAGGTCTTATGTTGATATTTCCTGCTTCTGTCCTATTCGTAGTTACCAAACTTCTTCACCGATGTTCAGTTAGTTATTGTCTTTCGTCACACATACCTACCCATATTTTTGTCTTTTTGTGTGTATTATCTATTTTTGTGTAATATTTCGGATTGTTGAAACTCAAACTTATGCAGTTATGTACAGATTTCACTGTTGGCGTGTCCTGAAAATGTTTCTTTAGCACTCGTCAATATGTAGTATATTAGGCGTATTGCTGTAATTAATACTTATACAATTGAACTGTTGGTAAATGCAGACTATGTTGGTATGAGTGGTGGTTCGAAGAGTTCATTAGAAGATTAATCATGCTTTCGACAAATCTGTACAGACTTCAGACAAATGTTGGCTGAAACGAACTGTAGAGATGTGAAAAACAACCCCAATTGAGTATTCAAAATAGCAGCTGCGAGTCAATAACTTCATTTATAGACGAAGACTTAATCCGTTTGACTCGTGTACAATGAACAGCAAAGGTAGTTTGCAATTAAAGTAATACAATAATAGTTGAAAAGGTGAACAACTGAAGCATGAGGTTGTCAAGGAGTTCTTCTGTAACAGGCAACTTCTTAGGCTGGTCATGAAAATTTTGAAATAATAATGCAACTTTGTACATATTTGTGTATTTATTCAGGAGTCAGTGAGGTAGCCCAAATAAATAAGTACTATCTAAGATATATCAATAAAGGTTTGTTTTATGATCAGCAATGTGTACATTATTTGTTTCGTCATCAATTGTTGTTGACATTTTTGTGGTTTATTTCTACCTAATATTTCGTGGTTCCATTTCATTGTTATTTTTGATGCGATTTTCCATTACTAGCTTTTCAGTGTTTTGTGTGATATAAATTGTTTGCTGGGTTCCACTAATACAGTCTATTCTTTAAATTTTTAGTTTATATACTGACATTGCATTTGGAAACAAATTTGGCTTATACACAGCTTGTGTGCTGACTGGCGTGACAAATCAGAAATTAATCGATAAAGTAAACACTACACCTGGAGATGAAGTACTTCGACCGAAATTTGTTTTCGAATCCGTTGCAGATATATTAAATATTTTGAAGACTTAAGTCACCCTACTCGTTGTCTTCTGTTTTTTTTTTTGAATAGCGCTCATAATTTTGTATTTCACTTTTTTGTGTTCATGTGTCTCATCGATATGTAGTGGACTTTTGAAAAACCAAAAATATCAAATTTTTATCTGCTAACGTAATATGACCTTTTTTAATGTTAGTTTACGTAACCATAGATATGAGAAATTGCCTCTGAATTTTTTGTCTTTCTTCAAACCAATTATAATTTTTCACCAATTAAAAAAATCTTATTTAGTATACTTTTATTGCCTTTTTGTATAAAGAAGACACCCCTTTTTAATCTAAAAGTGCGGAACGCAATATGAAGTATACCTTAGTATGAACTCGTCAGTTAGGTATGCTTGCATTTCAAATAGTCATGTATTTCTAAGTTGGGTTCATCCACTCGGTCACTGATTTGATGGGTTTACAATGTAGAAAAATGTGATGTTTTTGTCTGATTCAAAGACTTTATTCTATAAAATTGTTCGGAAGTTAGGCGGATATCAGTCATTGACTGTATTAACACTTAATTCAAAAGCCTATTTAATTGGCGGTTGCTGCATCAATACTTGGTCGTCCTTAAATTAGTACCAGATTTATGTGTATGAAAAAGTTTTCTAAACTGTTCCACTAGAATTTTCAAGTATTGGTTTTGTAGGGATTATGTTTGATTGGTTGGAGGATTTCATCATGGGTTGACATCAGTTGAAGAACCATTGGAAAACCAGCTGGGAGTACTGAACAGCTGTTTTCCCAGGTTTTCCAATGGTTCTCTAACTGATGCCAGCTCATGATGAAATTCTGTAAACTATTCAACTAGAAGTTTTTTCTGCATATTGAGTAATAACCTGAAGTTGATCGAATGTCCCTCCGTCTTATGGGAAAAATCTCGAATTGTTGGAATGTATAAAGGATTATCATCGTCTAATCCATTGCACACTGGGAAATTTACAACCACAGTAATATAAATGTTGAGTTTTGTCATCAAATATTACACTTTCAATGATATTTGCATGAAATCAACTATTGAAGATTTGTAAATACAAATGAACGTTGTTTCTGTTCATTATCAATAAGATTATAAATTAAGGAATTTCATATTTTTCTTGTTTAATGGTAAACGAATCAGTCAGTTGACATTTAGGAATAATTAATTTTATATTTATTAGATCCCTGAATTGGTGCTTGTTAAATCCAGAATCACAATGCAACGGTGGATTTGGACGTCTCATTCACTTACATAAAGCTCCCTTACATACAACTCTTACGTGCAGCTATGTAGGAGTTTACGGAGAGTTGTGATCTGAAGTGGTGACAACCAGCAGTGTCCATCAGGGATGCCCACTGTACTCATTTCTGTTTAATTTCATCATAGATGTACCAGTGAACTTAACCCTAACTGACTTCAGCGACTCAGGGATTGACTTGTTACCAAGGAACAATCTCGTTGACTTAGAATATGCAAATGATATAGTCCTTCTTCCGAGGCGAAGATGTTGACAAAATGCGGCAGAGTCTTCTGAACACCTTGACAGGCAGCAATCTTCGAATGTTTGGCATGCGATTCGCTTTCTCTGTCAAATGTAAGATGATGAGGCTGCAAGACCGGACTACATTGACTCCTAGGTTGGAAAAGAGCTAGTGGTGGTCAAACCAAAACATGTCATCAGCCAATTAAATTCAAAACGGTTAGCTTGAGCTACGTAGGGAGGTGTAAACTTACTTGTTGGGGTCCTCGGGATGGTAAGAACCAATGCAGGGTGGGAACAATTGGTGATATGGCTCAAAATCGTTCTCAATAGCTGGCTCAGATGCATCCACTCCTTGTGACTCATAATTTCTAATAAAACTATATTGTTCTTCGATATTACTATTCTTTTTGCCTCATATTTTTGTTTGTTATCTCTTTCTTTTGAATTTCTGTTTACTCTCTTCTCTGGCTTTGTGTGTTACACGGAGGGAATGTGGCGACTCGAATTGTTGTACATCGATGCAAAGTTCTACGTTGAAACCAGTCGGTCACTCAGTCCCTTACATAGTTGGATTTTTATCTATTCATATCAACGGATTTTGTTTTAAGAATTCAGCATGTATCTATCCTTATCTTTTTCTCGGTAGGAACGGCATATAATAAGCACTAAACTGTATTAGCAACACATTTAAATTTATTTAACAAGGTCATCAGGAAGAAGAGTATACTCTTGATGATCAGAAAGTATATGTCTGTGACGGAATCCAGTTTATAGTTGGATTTTAAAGTTAGGAATAAATAGATGCCTATATCCTAAGATGACAGTAGGATTTACTTCTCTTACTTAAGAAAGTCCTGAAGGATTAGCATTATTGCATGTCCCCGCTAGCTGTAGCATCTTAGTCCGTCGCTATCGTGGTTTCATGACAATTTATATTCTTTGTGCCATCATATTCTTCAAATGCGTTACATCTGCTACACTTTTATTAAAAAATGTTGCTCGATACTGATATCTGCGCAACGTAATCGATCAGAGACTACAGTTCGTTCAAAAGTAAAACCTATATTATTGAATTTTCCTAAAATCATGCTGGTATATTATGGTCCATTTATGGAACACCCTAAAAGCCATCGGAAAAAGTAGGTGGCTCCACTTCTAGAAAGGGATATGTTACATAATCACCCGTCCTAAAGTGTTTGGTAACTCTACTACTTGGGTGTTTCAGCGTGTCGGAATTCATCTCCAATGTAAGATGGTACCGTGTGACTCAACAATTTTGTCGGCATATTTATTCAATCTTTAAAGTAGAGTAGTTAAGAGGGGTTACTGCATTTAATTGAAGGTCAGTGAGCATTATCGACCTTTCTGCTACTGATACTCGAATTATCTATGCCGCTTCTTTCTGTCTCAATATTAGAATGTGAATAGTTGCTTTTTAATAAAAAAAAAAGTTCACCAGTGAATGTCTGGAAACTATGGATGTGACATTTAGTCGCTGTTGGCGCTGATTAACATTTGCATTATAGTTCGGCATGGGTATGATATTCAAATTTCCCCTACTCTGAAACGTGAATTATATGTAATAATTACACAACAGGATGATACTATGGACACTCAGCTGACAAACATATTTTATACTCTAGTATTTGAAACATAGAACAACCTAGAGTTGTGTTCCGTATACTGCACCCTAACGTAAAACGCATTAAACATGATGAGAGTTAAATAGATTTTTATCTTAAGTTAATATTAGCTAGGGAAACATCGGAAATCAACATTTATGAACGTAAAAGTAGAATTTGGGCACTGTGATGGAGTATATATATATATATATGATAGTGATACTGTGTCAGCAACTGGATGACAGTGATATGATTATGAGCAATAATTTGTGGAAACGTTATTCAGTTAATAACATTGCATCGACGTGTACTACATCAAGTAAACTTAAGTTATGCGGAGACGATATGTACTGTTCAAGTTGGAGACTCCTCAACAGCATGCACCTGAGATATCGAGTCTAGATTCTAGGTAAACAAATTATCAATCAAGCCCTTTTATTCAGAAGTGATTACTCTCTGACTCTTAACTTCTTCCACTATGAGGTCTAGTGGCATCCTCACATCCATCCACTAAGAGGGGATTATTTTGAAAATAATTAGCAATGTATAGTGTAGTAATGTATGACGTTTTGCGTTTGCCGGGACTTGATTGAATTCAAGCTAGTTTTCTCCACGAACTGCCTGGCATCGAGTCACATAAGCGAACTGCTCAGAAGTTTGAACTCATGACTAGTTTTTTTGCTTTATTTCTCTGGTTGATTCCCGTTCATGAAGAAGTGTACCTTGGAATTAATCACATCGTCTAACTACTTAACGTTTAAATGAAATTTAAAAATAAAGAAATGAGGATTACCTCGGTTTTCAATATTACTAGAGTCATTTAGAGTGAGAATATTTCTATTGCTCTTATTCACTAACTGCAAACAGCTTAGCAGATGCCTTTCAGTGTACAAAAATGTAAGCGCCAGATATTTCTCGGTAATTAATTCCTTCACAATTAATGTACCAATTTTCATTAAAATGTTTTTGACTGGAGTTCTGGTCATTTTATGTAACTGTTATCACAATACTTCAATTACATAAAGATGCATTATGAATTTTGTGCGTACCGAGCAACGTATAATATCAAGTAAGTGGCATTGTTTGGTGACGAATTAACAGAACCTTTACAAGCAGTCTATTATATATTATGCCAGTAGATTTGTATGGGGCTACGATTTTAAAAATGAGTTATCTAATAAGTTAGTCAGCACCCTATGTTGATAACACATTTTTATATGTAATCATAGACGAGCATCTCACAAAGAATATCCTAATTTAGGCTTTACAAAGGAAAATAAGCGTGATGAAAATCCTCACCTTCTAGACTTTGGTATACAAAGTGATATTCATAGAAAGATTTTGAGGTGCTTTTTGCTGAGGATATGTGATATGGACTGAATTTTAATTTAGATATGATAAGTAACTGATTATAAAACTTACTACACCTTAAATAAGAGCATACAGTCGTCTCTGTTGATTTCATCTCTGATGTTTCTCGCATACTAATGCCAAAATACAGCAAATGGTAACGCATTATGCTTTACTTTTGATAATTAAAGTTTCCCATATAGTAGTAGAGTGCGTTGGCGGCACAACGGTATTATGCTCACCAACCACGCAGGTGGTTTGGCGTTTGATCCCTGGCTAACGCACTCATTTACCTTGCTAAGCTATTAATACGACTGGCAAAGAGGGAAGCTTGGACATGAAGCTAGCAACCCTATCCCGTAAAAATAAAACACAACTGCTACCGAAACTTCAAGCCTCTAGCTTGGAGCCCTGTGTTCCATCGGGAACGTAAAGGTGGTGAGAGCTGTCTGCAAGCCAAAATTGCAGACAACAATTTACGCCAGTGTTCACGTCCCGAATCAGGGTCATGAGAAAAACAATAACAAAGCTAAACCTTCAGAAAATCGCC